GTGCAGGGGGTGGGTCTCGTTGAGCGGGCGCGGTCTCGGTTGTGGGGGGCGGTGGCGCCGCCATGAGCGTGGCGCTGCGGAACGCGCAGCGAGCCGTGCCGGTACGCCGGGCCGCGCTTCGCCGCGCCGTGTGCGCCTTGCGCGCCGCCCTGGGCGCCTCCCGCTTCGACGTGGGGCTAGTGTGCGCCAGCAACGCGCTGATGCAGCGGCTGAACGGCGCCTACCGACACTGCCCGGAGCCTACCGACGTCCTCTCTTTCCCGTTCCACCAAGTGGCGGCCGGGGAGCTGCCGCGGCCGTGTTGTCGTGGCGAGTACAACCTGGGGGACATCTTCCTGGGGGTGGAATACATCCATCAGCAGTGCCGCGAAACCGGGGAGAATTTTGACGATGTCCTGACGGTGAGCCCCGCTGGGTCCTGGCGGGCGGTGGGGCGAGCACGGGGCTCGGTCGGTAACACGTGTCGTGCTCCTGCCCCCCGCGCAGGTGACGGCGGCCCACGGATTGTGTCACCTACTCGGCTACCGGCACGACACCAAACCCGAGTGGGAGCAGGTGCGGGATGCGCGGGGGCCGGGGAGGGTGTGCGGGCTCCGGCATGGTGTGGACCGGAGGCCCCGATGACGAGAACCGGGGCTCGCCCGGTGCTGACCGCCGCTGCTTCTGCAGATGTACCAGAAGGAAGCGCAAATCCTGGGGGAGCTGAACCGCATCACAGGCTCCCGCCTGCGGCCCCTCACAGCCGGCCTCTTCTGAGACCCTTAGAGGGGCTGGGGCTCCGCCGGTACCGCCCCGGACGTGGCGTAGGGATGGCGGCGCAGGGGCGCGGCGGCCGCTGCTGCCCGGAGCTGCCGCTGCTGCTCCTTGGCCTGGCCGTGCTCGCCCTCCCGCCGCCGCTCGCCGCCGGCTCCGAGCCGCCCGCCGCCCTCCGCGCCGGCCACGCCGCCTCCTCGCTGCCCGCCGCCGCCGCTGCCTCGCGCACCAGGTGAGGAGCGGCGGCCCCGCCGCCCCCGACCCGGGCCGGTCCTGCCCCCCGGGATCTCCCCCCGGGATCTCCCCCCGCCGTGCGGTGTCCCCTTGCGCAGGCGACCCTCTGCGCCTCGGCCATCAGCTGGTAAAGGGACTCTTTCGCCTACTGGTGCTTTTTTGGGTGGTTTTTGGAAGGTGTCATCGCAGCTATCAGAGGACTTTCGTCTGTAGAATGTCCCGAGTTGTCACGGATGCCGCAGGGGTCAGCCAGTTCCCAGATGCGTTATTTTGCCCTATTTCTCCAGAGCATGTCCTCCTGCCTTTATGTGCAGCTTACAAGAGTTAGCCTGGGTTACATGCCCGTGGTTTCACAATTTTCACCACATACCCCATGTTGCCCTCGGGATGAGCAAGACTCTTCACTCCTTGACCTGCTGCAAGAAAGGCTCCTGGCATGTGCCACCTCTCCAGGAGACCCTAGTGGCCCCTCCAGCCCCTGCAGCACACACTGCTCTGACTTCCCATACTTCTTCCCCTTCCAAGCACCACAAACTCAAAAAGAGGAACAGCTTTTTTACCCAACAGTTTCATCACAGGATTGTAGGGTAAAAAAAGAAAAACGTGTGATTGCCTCAATGTGCTCCCAGAAAAAATGGTATTCCTGTGTTCTCCCCAGATACCTTTTGTACGATGTAAACCCCCCTGAAGGGTTCAACCTTCGCAGAGATGTCTACATTCGCATTGCTTCCCTTCTTAAGACCCTGCGGAAAAGTGAAAACTGGGTGTTGGTTCTGCCTCCCTGGGGACATCTTTATCACTGGCAGAGCCCTGACATCCTCCAGACCCGGATCGCTTGGTCCGAGTTCTTTGATGTCCCAAGCCTCAACAGGAACATCCCTGTCATTGAATATGAACAGTTCCTTGCAGGTGGGGTATAGGATCATGCGATCTACAGTTAATATTTGATATGGTTTTTTAACAGGTTTGCCCTTGTAGGAGCTTCTATCCTTTTATGTAAAAAAAATCATAAAGGTGGCAAGATGAGGGATGGGAAGGAGTTTTGCTGAGCTACACAACCAATAGGATGGAATAACCCAATTACTTGGCAGCTTGTTTGATGTAGTACTGCTGCCCCCTTAACTTCTGGGACCCCCAAAGATAGACAGTTAATGCCTGTGGTTAAATTCACCTGTGGTATTTCTGTGTGTTTCTGACGATAATGACAAGACCATAAAGGAGAGAGGCAGCTTGTTGAAATACAGACAAGCCACCTTTTTCCTGGATGTGGTGGTTGGACAGTAAAAGTTGTAAAGCAGGTTCTCCCTGAACTTACTTTTTCATCATCAGTACTACACATCCTTGAAATACCCCTTGCTTTTTGTGTCTAAGAGAAAGGTTTTCCATAAGAAAGTGAAGTTGGTTCCTTTAGGACTTAATGCCACATTGAGCTAATCACCAAGTGTTCAGTTGGTGAACACTGCACACTGGCATGTTCAGCAGAGGAAATAAAGGCCACCAAATGTCACGCCTCTGCAAAGAGCTCTGAAGGGAAGGCTGTTCCCTGCCTTCCAAGAAAATGTTTGTAGAGAACCCTGAAATTTAGGGGAAGAAGGGCTTGTACTGGACATTTTTCTTGGAGGCACTCCTGCTATGGTAGGTGCTTACAGCACTGAAAACCTGTGTTCTTCGTAGTGTGTTTTACTCAGGTGACAGTGATTCTATTACATTTGGGACATTAAGTCACACAGAACTGGGTGGGATAGCAAGCAATCACATTACCTGACCCTTTTAGCTTTTCTGGCTCTCTCAGAACTTTCTTTCCTTTTTTATAGGGAAAGCGGGGAAGAGAGAGTGGTGTAACATTAGCATTTCTAGCAGATTTTTAACTGCAACTGATGCTTGTTCATACCTTTATGGTGTGGGTTTTAATGCTTACAAATCCTTTGCCTTCTGTTCAGAGTCAGGTGGGCCCTTTATTGAACAAGTTTATGTGCTACAAGGCTATGCAGAAGGATGGAAAGAAGGAACATGGGAAGAAAAAATAGATGAAAAACCATGCATTGATCAACTGATGTACTCCAAAGACAAACATGGCTACTACAGGTAACATCAAGCATTCCTTGTGGTCTTTTCAGTTGTATTCAGAGAGATACTTGCTTACTGTAGATATCTGGGTGCTTGGAGTTCACTTTGTTTTTAAAAAGCTCGTGAAAAGTACAATGTTGTATTGGTATGAGAAGATCCAATTCTATAAAGTTGTTGCTACACAGAAAAGCAGCATAAAGGAGGTGGCTGGTTTATTTGTAGCATATGTAGTTTTTTTAGGATGTTTTGTTCTATATATGGCATTAATTTAAAATACAAGCCTGTGAACCAATCCTTTACGTTCTGTTTTAGGGGCTGGTTCTGGGGTTACAAGGAAACACGAGGCCTAAATGTCTCTTGCTTGTCTGTCCAAGGATCTGCCTCTGTTGTGGCTCCCATCCTTCTGAAGAATACTTCGGCACAGTGAGTTGCCTTGTGTAACTATTTCTTCTTGTATTATTATTGTTCAACCCCATTGCTGGGTGGGAAGAGCAGGGGGAATTTAAAGGCTTGTCCACTGTTGAGGTACTTCATCACTGAATTACTGTACTCTGTTAAAATAATTACAAAAGAGATTTACAGTGTAAAAAACACTTAACTGTAAGTTTAGTTTAAGATTGCAGTGCTAAAACCTAAGAGCAAATAGCCTTGAGCTCCTTTATATTCCCTCTTAGGCAGCTTTTGTGACTCATATGTCCAAGGTATCATCAAATATCCCCTCGATCATGCAGTGGAAGAGATGCTGAACCATCAGCTGTTCCGTATTCTACTCCACAGCACGTGCAATTTTACATCTCTGGCACGTTCCCCCTCAGTAGTCTCCTCTTCAGTGGGAAGAGTCCTGGCTCCATTAGTTGTTCTCCATATGAAAGCCATTCCATGCCTTTGTTTGTCACCACTGCCAATCTCCAAACCTTACTGAACCAGTTCAGCAGGATCCTGCACACTGAGTGTGGGTAAACCTGTTACATTGCAGTATGCCTAAGTGGTCTCTACTTTTTCTGCTAATTCTTGAGACACACGTTCCTTATTTTCATGTCTGAGTGTTGTCTTGATGTTTGCATCAAATTGTCCACATTCTTGACCATCAAGACCATTAGATGAAGCCAGGTTTTGTTGGTTTTTTTAACTATGCTCACTCCTATGTTAGAATTCATTTGCCACTTCACTGCCAGTGATCAGACTTCTCTAATTCTTCATAGTTGGCCTTAGCTGCTCTGAGGAATTTAAAATAGTTAAGCTATATCACCTAATTGCATGCCCTTCTGTAGGTTGTTTAGGAATATGGTTAAGAGGCCTTCCACTTGTGACCTCCCTCTGCAATGGGAAACATACATTAATCCCTGTCTCTAAACTCTTTTTTTTTTTATTTTTTAATCCATGCAAGAACCTTTCTATGCCAAGTTTTCTTAAAAGCCTCTAATGAAGGCTGTCAGGAAATCTTCTTAGGCAGTGTCATTGAGATGTCCCTTAACTTCATGTGTGGCAGTATCCTCAAACTACTATGATTGTTCAGAGCTCTGATCTCCCATATTGCCCTTCTGGCCAGTTGTGTGGTCCTAGGACTGGGTTTTTGCCCCTCAAGTGTGGTCACTTCAAGGAAACTTCTCAATGCATTTCAATTAGTAACCTCAATCACCTCCAATCATCCTGTTAGATGCAGTGCTGTTTCTTCACCAGCACAGTCTAGTCTGTTTCCAGGTGATTTAGGGCCTTTCATGCAGGTGTCCAGCTGATGATCAGCAGTGATAATCCAAAGTTGATTATCTGCTTCCTCTCTTTTTAGTAGAAGGAGATGCATATAACAACCTTGATCCTTTTTAGCAAAAGCATTTCTCTATGTGTTTGCTTATCAGTGTGCTCACAAACTAAATCTACATCTCTTATGCTCTGGAATACTTGAAGCTCTCAAAATCTCTTCTGCTTATTAGAACTTTGATAGCGCAATTATGTTTCCAGTACACAATGCTGAAGTGTTTATTTATGAGAAGGGCAAACTGTTGTCTACTACCACACATTTTGGTAGTGTCTCTGTGTTCCTTGATTTGTTGTTTTACTGTAGGACATTTTATTCTTCATGTGGAAAACACATTCTCTGGGTTTGTTTTCATGATCTACTTCCTCCCAGAGGCTGTTGTGTGCTCTGAGGCCGAGCATTATCACACAGGTCACTTCTCTGTTAGAAATCTAATGTCTCCTATAGCAACTATTACAAAGAATGTGGGGGGTGGTTAATGCTTGTTAGTGTTTAACTTTCAGAGTCAGGATACCATTTATTAGGGAAGAGAGCAGGCACAGTGAGGGGCATGGTTCCCTTCTCTCCCTAGCAGAATGTGGGTCACAATTTGCCTTGTAGAGAACTAGAATTTGCCTCACAGGAGCCTGTCCCTCATTCCCCACATTCCTTAGCAAACAGACTATAGTCTGCGCTTTATCCTAGCAAATGTGTAAAGAAACGTCATAATGTAAATTCTATTCCTAAGGGAACTGCACTCAGTTTTACAATTTTTAATAGGTCAGTGATGTTAGACAGAGCTGAAAACCTTCTTCATGACCACTACGGAGGGAAAGATTATTGGAATGTGAGTATTTTACAGATAGCTTCTCTAGACTTTTTCCTTGGCTCTGCTAAAAATCCAGTAACCAATGCGTGCTTCAGTTTTGCCTCAGGTTTCTTGTCTTGAAAGTCACTTCTGTCTTCTGTTTCAGCAATGTGTACTAACATGGTTTTCAGGCTGCTGTGGATTAATGTGACACAGGAATTTGCCCTGCTGACTTGTG